AAATGAGCAATGCTAATAATGTTCTTGGCTTGTGCCACAAATTTTTTACCACTCATTCTTTAAAAATATTTCCTAACGCTGTTGTTGTACAACCAAACAAGAATATGTACATGCTCTTTAGCATACTGTTATTCACAAACTAAATGCCAGTTCATTAAAACTCAAGATAGTTAAACATTCATATTCCATAATTACGATCAAACTGCAGGTGAGTTACCACAACAACCAATCTTCCACTGATGTCATTATGTTTTCATTATGAATTTAGTAATTTGCATGCTTGCTTCTTTTTTTAAGAGTATGCATATTATTATACAAGACACCACAACTAACTCATTTATCAACTTCAGTATTTTATCACTTTCAATTAACCATCATATTGCAAAGTCTTGAAACAAGTCACTTTTAAGACCCACAAGTTTTCTTGTGCCCTTACAGTGCATCGAAGGCCCTGAAGTGTCAAACAGGCCAAAAGGCATTGGTAAGGCTTGTTCATAGGCATTGGACAAATCTGTTTACAAAATGTGTTAAAGGCACATGCGTGCACATGTTTTGGTTTGATTGTACGTTAACATAAAAGAAAGGAAGGAGTGGTGCGACATTTCTCGCACAAGCCAAGCATGTGGTTAGCATTGCTAACTTTCACTTCACTTCACTTTATTATCTTAAAGACCCCGGTGAGGGGGTATTACATAAGGGGTAGGTTAACAAATGGAGGTTACAGAGAGTGATCTTCTGACAAGCAATATGTATTTATGTTTTGCGCAAACGTTGATGAACACGTGATGGCTGCAATGTCACGGGGAAGGCCATTCCAGTCCACTGCTGTGCGAAGAAAAAATGAGGCAGCAAAAGTAGTAGTGCCAGCGCGTGCGCATGCGATTGAATAAGAATGGGTTGTGCGGTGAGATATGCGCGTTGGTGGGATAATGTAAGGTGCTTGATTGAGGGAACTGTGAAAGAACTTGTGAAACAAACAGAGGCTGGCGATGCGGTGATGCACAGAAAGATTATCAATATCAATGTCATGTTTTAGGGATGATATGCTTATTTCGTATGAATATGAAGAGTGAATGAACCTAGTGGCACGATTTTGTACAGATTCTATTTCGTTTATTAGGTATATCTGGTGCGGGCTCCAGATGGGCGCTGCATATTCTAGTTTAGGTCTGATGAGCGATTTGTAAGCCAGAAGTTTTATGTCTAGTGGTGCGTGACGCAAATGACGCTTTAGGAAACCGAGGGGTCTGTTCGCGGATGATATGATGTTGTTTATGTGAGTGTTCCAGGAAAGGTCAGATGTTAAGGTGACGCCTAGGTATTTATGACTGAACTTGTTCGATAGCGGAATTAGAGATTAGGTATGAGAATGATAAAGGATTACGCTGGCGTTGAAATGAGGCGAGTTTGCATTTAGTAGGGTTAAGCTTCATTAACTAAAGATCACACCACTGTTGCACGAGATCCAGATCCTGTTGGAGTGTAGTTTGATCAGAAATGTTAGTAACTGTGCGATAGATGACACAGTCGTTGGCAAATAAACGGATATGGGAAGATACATGAACAGGAAGATCATTAATATATATTAGGAACAAGAGGGGTGCGAGTACAAATCCTTGGGGGACGCCGGATGTTACTGGGAGGGAGCTAGAACGGGTATTTTTAATGGAGACGAACTGAGAGCGGTTAGTAAGAAATTGTGTGGTCCATGCAAGAATGTTGGGGTGCAGGTTCAGCTGGGAAAGTTTTAACAGTAGGCGTTTGTGCGGTACCTTATCAAAGGCTTTTGCGAAGTCGAGAAAGATTGAATCGGTCTGAAAGTGATGGTCGAGAGAAGAGTGTATATCATGAATAAATATAGCAAGTTGGGATTCACTGGATAATGATTTACGAAATCCGTGCTGGGAAAAATGAAAAAAATTGTTGGTGTCAAGAAAGTTCATGATGTGTAATTATATGATATGTTCCATGATTTTGCAGGGGACGCTTGTTAGAGAGATGGGTCAATAATTTAGGGGGGACTGTCTGTTACCTGATTTGTGGACTGGAATGACCTTTCCCTCCATCCAGTCGTCTGGTAAAATTCCTGTTTCGAGTGACAATGAGAACATCATCGAAAAGTACACTGCAATAATTTCCTTAGTATTTTTTAACAATTTAGAGTTAATATTGTCTACGCCAGCTGATGATGAAAGTTTTAATTTGTCAATGAGTGATGAAATGCCACTAACGGATAACACAACAGGGTCCATCGCTGGTAATGTCGTAGTAGGTGGCGTAAGAAACGGTACGTTGGCTTCTTTAGTGAACACTGATGAGAACGCGGTGTTAAAGATATTGGCACAAACAGTGTCGCTTACGTCTTCATTTTTATCGTTTGTAAGCGTGATGTCTCGTGTTAGTTGCAGGTTTATGATTTCCGAGAATTTTCTAGGGTTAGATTTCAGAATTTTAGTTAAATCATTGTGATAGAATGTCTGTTTCGCTTTTCTAATTTCAGCATAATAAGCTTCTTCCGCAGCATAGTACTTGCTCCATGCACACGCATTACCATTAAACTTCGCAGCTCGAAAGAGGTGCTTTTTTTATTTTCAAGTGTTTTCAAACTTGTGGAAAACCATGGTTTATTTTTATTGGCAGTAAAGCTCACTGTGGGGATGAATTTATTAGTCAAGTCAGTTATCTTGTCCTTAAGCATTAGCCAGCTGTCATTGAGAGAACAGGAACCGAGATTGAGTTCGAAGTATGATAGAAAATCTCGTAATTCACGATTAATTAATTCATAATTACCCTTATCATACAAGTGAATCGTTTTGCGGAAAATGGAGCGTATTTTTGGGGTGAAGTTAAATATGGTATGGATGACTTTGTGATCGCTGATTTCACGTAAGTATGCAATAGATTTCAAGCTTTCGGGGCTATTTGTTAATACCAGGTCTAAAATGTTTGAGGATTCACTAGTGACGTGCGTTAGTTTGGTTACCTGTTGGATGAGGTTAAAGTTGAGGCAAACATCGACGAATTCTCTTGCTTCAGTATTTCCCGAGGTTGGTGAAACCTGATTGAGCCAATTAATGGAGGGAAAGTTAAAATCCCCATAAAGCAGAACACGTGCGTTAGGGTGTTTATTAGTTAGCTGGGATAAGATTTCGTTAAGTTTGCGCGGGAAGTCTCGGTCAGTTCGAGGGGGCCTATAGCATACGCCAAGCATTATTGCTTCGGGAGGGGCACGGCATATTACCCATAATGATTCTAGTTGTGAAGATGTGTTGATTAGAGAGCATGATAGTTCTTTTTTAGTGGCGATGAGTATGCCTCCGCCACGTGAATTTTTACGATCGTGACGAAAGAATATGGTATTTATCCCGCACTAACTTTATAGTTAGTGCGGGAGTTTCAGATTAATTCCAGCCTATTTTTTAGCAATATATCTATAACATGTGGTACAAATAGTTTCTGTTAGTAATTTCACAAATGACAACACTATTATCAGCAAATCATGACGAAATTTAGATGATAGCAAGGAAGGGGCATTGGCAGTTAAAATGAGAAATAAGCTGGGCTTAGCTGAGCACAAAGCGAGTTCAATTTCATGCGAAGCATTCAAAGTACTAAACTTTGTTCGGTAGTGCCAAGGTCCAGATGACTTAATTTTAAGGTAAATGTTTATGACTGACCCCTCAAATGTGTTAGAAAATTATAAAATAATTCAGTCTATGAATCACTCCATCAAGAGAATGGCACAATTTATGAGTAAATAAGTGGAGTCTAACTTTGAAGCGTAGTTTTAAATCTATACTGCGTAGTGTTGTATGAAATGTAGGGTGATATAGAGGTACTTAGCTGCTGAATAAGCTTTGTTAGAATATAATAATAGTAGTGGTATTACAACATATGTGCAAGTTAAAATGAGGAAAAATAATAATAAATTTTTAAATTCCAGAAGAAAAAAAGAAAATTACAAAAAATTACAGCATATTCATGGAGTGATTGATTATGAGTGGGGTGAAGCGTCCGTCCATGCATGCGTCTATGCGTTCGATCGCGTTTGAGAATGCAGATGACGCATGGGTAACACCGATGAGACGCGTGCCAAAAAAGTCGAGCGCAAGCGTCTTTAACGTGCCCGCCACTCTGCTTCGTTCATGCCCCACCAACGATCCACTACGTATGGTGACTATAAAGGAGACTGAGAGATCCGCTCGTTCTATGCATATCCAGGCACAGCCCCCCATGCAGCCAATCTGAGAGTAGGGGTACAGCGCCATCTAGTTATCTTTACCCAACTGCAGTTTCTATGTAATTCTTAAGAAAGCGCTGTCTAATATACTGTTCGGCAAATACTGCCTTCCTTTCTTTGTTTTCTCTCCTCTCGGTTATGCGTGATGCTTGTACCATATCTAAGGACACAGTGAAAGATGAGGCATCAGTACCAAAAGGACTTATTTGGTTTACATTCTTTTATAGTTTGGGGGAAGTATGAATATTTATAGCAACTTGATTTAAAAGTGTATTTATTATGTGTTTGTGAGTTCCTGTAAGGTGTTAACTTAAAATGACACAAAAAAATTACTTTTGACGTGTCGATGTTTATGTCACTATGAATTAATTGAAACAAAATCTTTAGTTTTGCTATTTTTGCCCTACCTTGTAGTGTTAATAGACCAGCTTTCGTTTGCAACTCAGTAGGAGAATTCGTTAGATTGAATTTGTTATAAATATACCTCATTGCCTTCCTGTGCACCCCCTTTTAATCCTTGCAATTAGTTACTTTGTATGTGTAAACCCCACAATACTATTATAATCATGTTAGTAATATATTCATTCATTATTATTATTATTATTATTGCATTGATAACATTGCACTTGATTTGCAGTTTACTCATTAAATCTGTATTTCACTGTTACACTGTTCAAGGCAGTATTTATAATGTCCTTACAAAGACCTACATATTTTAACTGCATTTAATGGACTCAGATATATCAGCCAGTCTTGTGGCACACCCTACAAGACAAGAATATTTTCGTCATTACAGGACATCCCGGGGATGTTTTGGATTTTTGAAGGAGGTATGTATTAGGGAATGACTGATGCACGGCTACCTGTTTTTTATGCAACCTTACCTTATCTCCAAAAGATCAGGTGATGGCAGTATGAGGCAAAGGAGTTAGACCTTTTCAGAGTAGCTTTATGCCTTTCTATAAATTGCAGTGCCATGTCCTCCTCTGGCAGAGAGGTGCTAGGCAATAGGAGGTAAGGGAGTGCCAGCCCGTTTAAACTTCGATGCAGCACACAGCAATATTTGGTTGTGCATATGTCCTGTGCTTTACACAAACTGTTTTTTAGTTGTTTGCAATGCTTGAAATACCCTGTGCCTTTTTGAAATGAAACTTGTACTGGCATACAATTAACTGTAAATGTTGTCAGCATTAGATGTACAAAAAAAAAACCATCATGAAGGCAATGTGCCTTATCACTTATTTGCCTTGCACTACAGCTATTCTGGGATGAATAGAATGGCCATAAGGAAGATAATAATAATAATAATAATAATAATAATAATAATAATAATAATAATAATAATAATAATAATAATAATAATAATAATAATAATAATAATAATAATAATAATAATAATAATAATAATAATAATAATAATAATTCACACCAACTGGTTTCATTATAACAAATGATTCCAGCTGATTCCATTTCCAGGCCAGCTGGTTTCATTTTCAGTCTCGAGTGGTTCATGCTGGGACCAACTGGAACATGTTGCTAATGTGTTGGCTTGTACTTAGTCCCAGCTGTATAGAGCCATGGTTTCAGTTAAAGTGAACTGAAACCGTGGAGTATTTTCACCTGGAAAGGAAAGAATGTAGAAAGTGATGCATCCAAAGGCAGAAAAGAAAACAAAGAGGAAAGATAAAACAGGAAACAGAGCAAAAAAAAAAAGGCGAGCTCTCAAAGAGAAAGAGAGAAGAAAAGAGAGAAAGAAGGAGGCACACGCACACTGAACTTCTCTCGCCCTCATTTTTGAGGGCTCCTCGTTTTTTCCCTGTGTCACTTTTTTACCGTTACCTGGCTAAATTTTCGCTCCTATACACAGATCGACTGAATCGACGGCACACTCAGATTTAGCGTACATGCTCGTTGTCACATTCTGTCCCAAAATTCTCATGCCTGTCGTGCCAGAAAACAGCTTTGCAATGAAAATCACTATCGTGCAGCTGAGGAGCTGTATCATGCACAGATCATAATGTCAGCCTGATCGCACGAAGTAACGGTAATAACTTAGTAGTACACCATGCATAACACAAACGTTCAGTGGGCCTTTAAGTTATGTTGTCTTAACTGCAAAAGTGCAAGTTGTGCTTTGCCAGCATTTTCCTCAACTATGAGGCATACACTACAGCTGTGTTTTGTGTGAATATAAAAGAGAGTACTGCTTAAAATGTTAAGTACACTGACTATACAATTAAAAATATGGTAATCGGCATTTCTAAGAGTTACGTTTTCTTGTAAAAAACTGACACATACTTATGTCAAGACTCGTGCCGAAAGTACGTCTTGCCCAAGGTTATTTCTGAAAAATTCTGCATATTCCACGTAGCTCCGGAATCGACATTATGCGAAGCATGCAGAGGCATGCTTAGCATGACCATGTTGTGATTTTTTTATAGCGGCACGTCATGAAATTATGCCAAATATACGTCCAAATGTTCCACACACAGACATACATTGAAGAATTCCAAGTGTTTATATAACCAGTTGTTTGCACTTGTGCAATGATGCAAACATGAACTTGAGCATTAGGAACACCAGAATCAATAAGCTGGTATGAAGTGCTGGTGCTAGTGAGGATGGTAGCCCTGGACGCTGCTGCATAAATCAACTTCAGTGCATGGCACCTAGCAACAGTTGACGTCAACCCGATATCACAGCTGCATCATAGGAAATTGGGCGACCCTTAAGGTTCGCTTTCAAGAATTGAACACGATAATGATACCCTGGCCCTAGTGCGTACTTCAAGCACTTGGTGCATGAAATATTTTCGAACTTGGTATGCACTCACTATGTGGTCTGAAGGAAATGTGTGCAGCAAAATGTGTGCGTTTTGTTATGGCTGGCCACCTTTTAACTATGATGTCCTTAAGATAATCACATGTTCTGATGCCTGATTACAATGCACACTTGTATCAAGAAATATTACTGTGATATTACATATTGAATTGTGAAGGCAGTATACAGGACACATGTGTTTGCAAAGCCTAACATTATTTTCACTGCATTTTCAAGCAGATGAAGTTATTTTCTTTAATTTCCAAGCAGATGTGTGACTGTGCGGTAGAATGCCTGCTTGCATCGCAAATGGCCTGGGCTTTATCCTCCCGCAAACTGGGACATTTTTTATTACTTATTTTATTTGCATCTTTCTTGATTTTTCCGGTTGCTCACAAGGTTCATCACTCACAATCAACGATGCCCACGAGATTTTTAAAACTATCGCGTTAAAACTGGCATAAAAGGGTAACAATGTATGACTGATTGAATAAGCTTTTGCAGCTTATGCCAAATCACATTGGTGTGATGTTGAAATCCCTAGGTCCATTGTTAGACTACCAAATGTCATGGTTTTCACTTTTATGTCTGTTTAGGGGTACAGCAATTAACTGGCCAGGAAGTGTAAATAGATCTTTATTTGGAAACATGCAGAAGTATGATAAAGTCAAGCTCCCTTTCCCTTGAGTAATTTGAGTTGTATATGTATTTTGAAATGGTGTTTGAAAATCACAGCAGCTGTGCCATTACACCGCTTCGTGGCAAAAGCTTAGTATCGAGTTCTGGAGAATTTCTGCACGTTGCCTGCTGCAGCTCAGACAATCGTTAATCTGGCTTAAAATTATATAGTATATATATTGCATTCTCACTTTCAATTTTGCTTATTATGCAATTTAACTTACCCTTCGTGAATTCATCGATATTTTTCACATAATAACAGAAATTTGCAGAACTTCATGCCTAAAAATAGTGTGACACAATCTTCACTAAAATATGGCCATCAGTTTATGAGAAAAAAGTGGGACGCATGTGGCTCATCGACCCATGAAGCATCTTTGAATAAGTGGGGCAACACATGTCACATTGTCTCATAAGGGCACTAAGCTGTAATTCTGCTGCCAAATTTCTTGCCCAAAAAGGCCCAATGGAAGCAGTACAGAGGAACACTTCTAAAACTGTGGGAGAAAAATTGCAGTGAACCTTAATTTCAGATTTTCTACGCAATTCTGCGCCTCTGCCTGTGGCATTGAGTCTAGCGGCTCTGTCCCAAGGTCTTCACATACACGTACCCTTTCAGCTTGTGTCTGTCTTGTCGGTAGGTGGCGATAATATTGAAACTCGTCGAAAACAAGGAGAAAACAGCAGGCATAGATGAGTGCACGCATTCATATGAAAATAAAGAAAAAGGAGAATATTGCTTTTCATTCACATTTAACGAAGCTGTGTCTATGCATGTCTTGTCTTGTATCTGCAATGAATAAGGGCGAACATCTTAGTTAAGCCTGCATTTTCGCAAATAATTAAAATTGTGGTAATGAATCATGGCAAGCCACTTTGACGTGGTGTCAATGCACTGAATGCTGTAAGTGTGTTAACAAATGCTGCATCATATTCGTGAACTCTATTCAGGTGTGACATATTTGCTTTTCTCATATATCTTGCATGATTTGATGATCTTGAAAATTCGTGTTCTCTTTGGCTTCCTGGCTGTATGAAGCAGCAATTTTGCCATATTTTTCCTTTGGCACGAAATTTTAGCAACAGTGTCTTAGCCACAGCTTTTGGTCTCATTGCCTCTCCTCATAATGATAAAAAATATCAAAGAATGTGCTGTTTTGTGGCATCCATCAAACATGAAAAAACAGTTATGCATGTATGCTATGTTGTTAGGCTATGCGAGGAATTGCTTCATCATTTTTCATTCGAGTGCACTTCCACAATGATTTTAGGCAGATATAATTTTTGCAATTTAGAAAGAAAATCTATAGTTGCATGCTAAAATTCTTTAAAAAATCTGAGCAGAAGAATACCATAAATTTGAAACTTTAGCTACCTGGTACGCAATATGACACCGGCTGAAAAAAAATATTAACAGAATGAAAGATTTTAAACTGAACGTATCACTGATACATGCATTGTAAATGTGCAATATATAGTGTCTCAGTTTCCTTAATGTTTCTGGTACACCACAACTGGAAGGCATTGTGCTGATGGCAACGTAAAGTGGCAGAGAAAGTTTTACTGAGGAAAAAGTGGGATGCATTCATCCTATTAACCATCAAAAGGTTAAGAAATTGATGCTCAGCAGTGGAGCTTCCTCCACAGCAACAAAAAACCTGCATTGAACCACAGTGCATGCACACACCATCTCTCCAGCACTTTGCTCATGCACTCTGTCATGGCAGAATTTGGTACCAATGCAGTGAACAGCTGTAGGCCACTGTTTTCAACATGTGTTGCATATAAGACTCCATCAGCAACAACGGTTGGTGAAAACTGTTTCATTGCCTTTTTTGTGTTGCCAATGCGTGATTAGACATTCTGAATTACGAGCTTTCCAGTGACATAAAAGAAATGTACATTAAAAAAATTGATTGGCCGTAGGAAATAATCAGGCCCTCGAAATCCACAGAACCGTTAAGAAAGGGTAAGTATTCATTGGTACAAGCACATTCCTGGAGCTGAGTAGCCAGCTGCGCTACACAACTTCTCAAGTCTTTTTTCTTTTAATGTGCCAGGGCGGATGCTGTGTATCATACTGTTGCACAAGTTTTCTTTTATTTTGGTGTACTTAACATTTTAAAACATTAGTAAACTTTTAAAACATATACAGTTTTGCAAATCATGACTGTTGAATTGAACACAACAAAATTAAATTTGGAGTGTTAAATCACTTAATATTTCTAGAGATCGAATCACACTTGTCTAAAACACCCAGCCGACCGCTCCAGTTGCTGTTTTCTGCTGAAATATGTTAATGCCGACGCCGTATGAATATCTAACATGGCATACGGCGTGCTAGGCCTTTGTGCGATAATTTAAGCGTGAACAGAAGCATGTAGCTAAGGTGACGTAGAAGCCGTCACTAACAAGAGCCATGCGCTCCACTGCTCTGGACAAGTGTGATTCCACCTGTACAGCTGCAGTGTTGGCATTTTTTTGGTGCATGAAATTCTCCATGTTCACTTTACATCTGGTCTATTATATAAAAACATGGAAATAAAAAGAATAACAAATAAAACCTTCTAGGTCTGAGTGAGAATAGAAGCCAAGCTGCTTGTGTGGCAAGCAGGCATTCTACCACAAAGCCACGTGCCTGCTCAAAAATAATTTTCATGCTTTACAAATACACGCGTCTAGTATACACGCTTCACAATACAATATGTAATATCGCAGTATTTCATGGTACAAATGTGCATTGCCACTGGCCATCAGAACGTGTGATTATCATAATGACTTCGTTGTTTAAAGCAGCCACGAAAAACAAAAGGCACAAATGCTACTGGAGTATTCTCTTAGGACCATGTACTGGGTGCATATCAAGTTTAAAAACATTTCATGCACATAGTTGCTCGTGGTTTAAAGCATACTACACAGTACCTGTATTGCGTGGTCTATCCTGTGTCCCATCTCTGCGCTCTTCGAAGTAACTATGTGTACGTATCAACAAGCTCGCTTAGCCACCATTTAGAAATCCATTACGCAGACTGCAACTATATGCGAAACCCTTACTAGCACAAGCCACTTTAAACATTGATTACGTAGTAATAATCTGCAGTATGAACTTTTCAAGTAATGTTACCCTGCAAAAAGTATGCACTAGGTGGTTGGAGTATGCACTAGGGATAGGATATCACTGTTGTGTTCTACTCAAACCTTGAGGGTCCCCTAATTTTTTTCACCAAACAATTGTAAGATTCATAGATAGTAATGTTCCACAAGCATGGTATTGTAAATAATCACCCTTTTGGCCTATACTGGAAGAGTGGAGGGGGTGTTGTTAGGAGTGAATTTACAGGCTGTTAAGAGTGTATGGAAAATTTGACAGATTGTTGTGTAAGTATGCAAGCATTAGGGCATGTCAGTTCATATTAAATACCTGAAAAAGATCACAGGCAGGGGTCCTGATAGGACTCTTGAAAGCATTTCATCCTAGGAAAGAAGTGATGTGTCATTGACACATCTGTTGAAACTTGGAAGGTCAGAAAAGTATTTCAAGCGTAGGTATGTGACGTTTCTTGACAATACATGACTGTGACATTGCACACTTCCATACTGCACATGTGTCTGTTTCCTAACATACTTGCTAGCAAAGCCACAACAGGGTGTTTATCAATTTAAATTTTTTCAAATGTAGTGATTTTTCCAGGTTTTTCACATAGATTAAAAGCAAACTCCATGACCATAATGTCTTCTTGGAAAATGTGCAGTGGAAAGAACACTTTAGCAGTAAAAAAATAAAATAAGAGGCACTCATATAAAACAAATGAACACATTTTACACACACACTCATAATGTTGTGAGTGTATGTGGTAAATATGAAAAAATGTGTGTATCTGGTCAAAACAAAACTTGCGACCCAGGCACTGAGGAAGTTGGCTGTTTGGTTTTTGGAACAACCAGAACACAACCACACAAATAAAATCAACTGTAGCTGCAAGTTTGAAGGAGCCTGCGATAGTCCAACAGTGCAGCCAATGCTGCTAGGAAACGTAAAGGTGGCGCTATCTCGTGGCATTCGTATAAAACAAGGATGCAACAGCCCGGCCAGTTGGCTTACTGGAGCACATTCTAGTTCATTATAATGGCTATAGCCTGCAGGCCATTTAGGATTGGATTAGATTACTTTGATTTAGACTGCTGTATTTACTAATGATTTGCATCCCCGTCTCATTTGTACATGTCTAAAATATACTTTTCAGCAAAAAGGAGTACTTACGTATTTTATGCGACCTTGTCTTGACAACGACTAACAACAATGTTGCGACAACGAAACTGTACAGCAAAATTTACTTTATCCTTTCTTTCACTCTCTTTTTTTTTTACACAATGCACACATGCTTGTTGGTGTTTTATTTCTCTGGGTTCTGACACGTGGAGCACAATCAAAGTACTCAGACACCTGCAATAAAAGCTGCGGTAGCGTTTGAAGCGCTGATGTTTGAATATGGGGTGGAAAAAAGGAATCTGTCAGACCGCAACTGCTTCCCCGATTCCATAGGTAAATAAAAGATGCAGAATCGTGAGTTAGGCAAATTGGTGAGTGTTCACCGTAGAATATTTTACAAAGGAACGGGTTAGAAGCAGTCAGAGAGGGTCACAGCGCTGATTTCACAACTGAAATTTATTTGGAAAAGGAAAGAACATATATAGAAAATATTGACTCATCAAAACTATGCACATGTACACATTTGTTACAACACAGAATGATTCATGTCTTCTCTAAGACCTTATGTTCTTCATCTAGACGAGTGTTACATGAAATACTTATGCACTTGTTGTTAGATCTAATGAAAATGCTTTGGCTACTTCACACATGCGCTAATCAACATGTCAATATTTGATATTTGTTTTCTACAAGTGGGGCACACACAGGGCTGGGTAGTATCGCAATAGTATTTAAGAGATACTTTTGAGTGTCTGTATTGCTGTATCGAGGCACTTTTAAAAAATGTATTTGTATCTCAGTAGTGAAATACTTTCACGGTGTATCGCATGTATCGCGATACTATCCAGGACACGGGTATCTTGTTACTTTTTTTTTTTGTAAATGAGCTGAGACGTGTTGACAATGGGGAAAAAAATTTCTGCTGTGACCTTGGCAGTCCACGGCAAGATATGCACCCACCATTTCTACATTTCTGCTGAGGGCGAAACTGACTCCTACCTTCTTGAAAGCGAGCTAGTTGCTTTGCTACTCGCATCCCATGATGTGTTTGAATGATGGCCTGCTTCAGCGTGACAACAATGTTATACTGCTATATTGAATTCTAGCACAGATATTTTCATTGTGAGGAGTATTGTATACTGCACAATGGGCACCATTTTTTAAATGTATTTCCTCATGCCAATTGAATGAGTAGTGTTTGTTTTTCTCGTTTTTTTTTCCACTTTTCTTTTGCAGCACCCATTTGAAAAACTGGAGCTTATTGCGGAAGCCACAAACCACCCAAAGAGAATTTGGTGCCATGTTCCATCTACGATACTTCTTTCTGCAGAGCATTTCTGAAAAACGCCACCATGGCCAAACAGCGATTCGAAAGAGGTCTTTTTGAGTTTCCTTTCGCATTCCTTGTTTTGTCCGTTCTTAATTCTTTCTGCCTTTTCTAAGATGTTTCTAGAAAACACTAAAACTTCAACTGGAAGTTCGTTTGTTTATGGTGTGGTTCCAGCACTTCGCTTGAACTATGCTCCTTTTAGCATAACTAATAGTGTTGCTGTTGAGTTCCGGATTTCAGTGTACAATGCGTGTGACTGATGCTCTCATATGGCATAGTTTTTTATTGCAACTGATATCTGTAAATATGTGGTTATTAACAATTATGTGCAGTGTAAGCATCCTTTGTAATGCCTTAATGACACTCGGAGAATGGCGAAAATATAATAAATCAATTTCATTTGCAAGTTTCAATGTGCTGCACATAACAAATGTTTGTATGGAGTATAACTATCCCCGACATAGACAAAAGTATTTTAGTATATGTATTCTGGAATACTTTTTTGTCTTTTTGCAAACGTATCTCTGAAATATCCTGTCACATGAATTACAAATTTATCTCAGTATCTGTATTTTATGCTTCCAAACCACGCATTTCGATATCTGCATTCCAGAATACTTTTTCGGGCATCTCTGCCCAGCCCTGAGCACACATCCACATGGCCTACAACGAGCTGCCAAATTAGACGTGATTTTAGCATCTGATAGCATTAGCCCATGCTCTCTTAAGCACACGTTATGTAATGCCCCATTTCACCTAAATATTCGCAGCTGCAAGACAGTGGAATCCCATAAACCACGCCAGTAGTGCAAGGAGCATATCTGTGGACATGACTGGAGACACATTTGTTCCCTTTCCCTGGCTGCTGACACAATGCTCTATCCACCAAAGTACACACATTATGCACTTTATTACGTGCTGAGAATGACATGTTTATGCAATAACGAGCACCAACATTTTTCAAACCATGTGCTATCCTGTGTATGTATAGGATAACTGCCTGCCTCTTTTTCTTGCTAATTTCTAGTGCACTAGAATCACAATGATAAAACTTCTCGATCTTTGAAATAAGTTTTTCCGACAAGGAGCAAATCACGTCACCCAGAAAGCCAGAATTTGCAAGGCGAGCAACTTGTGCATCAAATGCATGCGCCAAAAGGTGCTCGCGTAACTTCTGAAGAGCGGCACCCAGCACAGTTGATGCAATGGCTCCCTGTATGGTTTTGAGTGGCCAGAATTAAAATTTAGAATTGGCTTTATGAATCTAGGTTGGTATTGCTATATATGTGATCTTTGATGAAAGCCTGTCTTAAATCAAGAAACTGTAGCTCATCAATTTTTTGAAACTCCAAAGTGAAATGCTGACATTTCGTTTTCCTCAACATCTTTCTTTATATTAGCAACCAGTAAAGAGCAATTGTTAATGTCCAGTAGAACTAAGAAGTCATGGACATATCAAACAGTGTGTGATGATAACCAATTCAAATGCTTTTGCAGCTGCCCGTCTACATACCCAAGAAAAATATAACTAATTACAGGTATACTCATGATTCAATGCAGATACCAGATTTTTGGACAAAATTATTTCTCTTCCAAGACACAACGGTAGAATTTAGGTGGCCTGCATGAGCTCTAAAAACGACGCAATAGAGATGCCACACTGGCACTGAAACAACAACTCATCATTATCTTCTCTGATGCACTGCTTTATACACTTCAAATCTTCACATTGGGGCAAACAATAATATAAATCTTTTACGTCTATACCGAATGCATTACGGCACAAAGAAGGTTGTTCACTTAGTGATAAGATGATAGATTCTGAGTTAGAAATTCTTAGCGGATCACAAGTCTTCAAACGCTCCGAATTTCTTTGAATATACTCTGAAACATTTATTTACCAAGTGTCTTTTTCTGAAACAACAGCTCTTAGTGGCAACATGAATCTTCACTGAAATAAAAACTGATAGTTTTTGCCTTTTTGCTTTTTTCACACTTGCCGCTACATGTTCCTGATTGAGCGTTAGTAACAGGGCATAAACTTATTCGTTCAGTCACCCGCTTTGTGCATCAACACTTTTTTTTATTAATATATACCCTAAAGGCCCATTCAGGCATTACGCAGGGGGTTTTAGTTATACAATAAATTTGCAAATCAGAACATTGCCATTATAAAATTAAAGTGGTAAACAATGTAAAATACAGTTCCATAGACAAAGATGCAAAAGGAAAAAAAAATTGTGGCATGAATGAAAACTCAATAAGAGAGACACAGCTATAGTGCAAAAAATATATATATACAGAAAATTGCCATGAAAAAAATTGCCCCCTATCTGCATATTTGACCAAAAATGTCGTCGAAAGACTATTGTATTTCGCCTGAAAAGAGTGAATAGACAGAAATATTTATTTGATGTTTTGCACGAGAAAACTGGTGAATGGGATCCTGGAGGTGTTGCGTGAGACATGAGTGCCATCTGGCGGTAATTTCAGAAAACGAAAGGATGGCCTTTGTTATAGCGAGCACGCAGCACGCAGCATGCGTGCAATCTTGGAGGCCATACTTTGTAGATTTCAAGACAGGTAGCAGCACAGTATCGTCTTAGAAAAGCGTAGGAGACTCGCCTTTCCATGCGAAGCGTCGCATTGTCAGCTGCAGTGCTTAGAATTACTTATTTATACCTTTTCTAGTATAAATAAACACAGTGCACAATATTGACGTGTTGATATTGTGCCTCAAATATGCTCAATATTTGCTTTTTATTGACAATAGTACAAGTATGAACGCAGAAACTTGAGCAATACTGGTGGATGCTGTGGATGTGGTCGTACTTGAGCCTTTTTGCTGACAGACAGACCAAAATTTTTGCGTTGGAATATCCCAAGCAAGACTATCATCTTTAAGGAGAAAATATATTTACAATGAAAGAAGAGTAAAAATAAGCACATACATGCACTTACAAACTCACACAGATAGGTAAGTCATATGTCCAAGAAAATATTGAATTGGTTTACAAAGGCGGCATGATCAATGAATCAAGCGATGTCGCTCGGCAGTGTGTTCCAGTGATGTGTGCTTCGAAGTAATGTGAGTGTTGATACATAATTGTGTGTACCAAAAAAGGCTGTATTTTGAATTGGTTGTCAATATGTTTCAAAATATTATGAGGTGTGTTTGTGCAAGCTTTACGAAGGCAGATTTACTACGATGAAATCTATGAAAATGCAACAACAGCAACGACAGTCTGCGTGTTTCAAGAAGGGGTAATGAAAGTGAGTGTGTAATATCTGTAGTGCTGCAGTTGCAAGAATACTACTTGGTGATAAATCCTGCTGCTTCATTTGTATTGATTCTAGTTAATCGATGAGATATGATTGATGTGGGTTCCAGATGATGGATGCATATTCTATCTTTCAACGGACAAGTGTAGTGTACGCTAGCATTTTAGAGGTATAGTTCACCAAGTAAAGGTTTCTTTTAATAAATCCAAGTGCTTTTGACACCTCACTAGTTATGATATCGATGCGCTTAATTTAAGGCACGTCAGAAGATAAATGAATTCCAAGATATTTAAATAGGGATACTTTTTCAATAGGGAGAGCTTGAATTTCATATTGACTCATTTCTGTTTTATGTGCTCTTGTAAACGTCATGGCTTCGTTTTGGAAGTGTTAATTTGCCATGGTGACACAAAATGCGAGTTTATTAGGGTCCAACTATAATGACTCGTTAGCTTGGGTACTGTCAATTTTTCTATAAATGATGTAGTTGTATGTAAATAATTTGATAGTAGATGACAAACCATGTCCAATGTCGTTGATGTAAATGAGAAACAAAACTGGTCCCATGATTGATCCCTGGGGAACACCAGACTTTGCATGTGAAAGTGAAGATGCATGTCCATCCACATAAATTGATTGGCTGCAGTTGCTCAGAAAATGATTTATTCAGCTTTTTTCCAAACCAGTGGCTACCTTATCATTATACATAGAGCCATCTAGAGTTGAAAAGAAGCCTTCCTTGTCAGCAACCAAAACATGCAACTTAGCTTCCAGATGCGTCTCAGACAGCATGAACACCGTTGTGAGGAGTGACCAGGCTATGTACAACAAAGGCAAGCTGAAAAAGCCAGTAGGCTTTTTTTGTGAAGCTAAGTTGCGTGTTTTGGTTACCTTCATGCTACCTTCATTTACGTACTCTTCTATGAACATAATGATAAAAAATACTCATGGATTTAATAACACCATCTCAAGGAAATGAAATGAGAAGAGAGTGTGCTACTCTTGAAATATCTGCAATAAGTGCATAGCGGAGGACGTTTGCAGCTGCATCGCCAATAATAATAATAATAGCAATAATATTATACAAGGCAAAACATAGCCCAGCTAACCTCTTGTGATGGCAGTTCTAACATAAGCACCAAACTAAAAGGCCTTCAAGCCAAGCCGAATTTGTGGCCACGACAAATATGCACAAATTTACCGATGTGAGAAATGCTGTGCTTGGAAAGTCAGATATGATATGTGATATGTAGAAGGAACATACATCAAAATAGTGCATGTACCAACATGGAAGCTAAGGAATGCTTTAGTCAATGGGAAGAATAAGCTGCCGAGCGAACTTTCTGTAGTCTTCTTTACACTGTAGTCTGCCACGAGTGTGACAACATGTCAGTCTATGAGACCTGTGATTTCAATGAAAGAGTTAAACAACACAACAGTTCAAAATGAAGTCACCAAATCATGGGTGGCCTTGGATGCCCTCGCTGAACATGCGGAATATACAGGCTTTCAAACTGACTGGTCAAGCAACCGTGTTCTGGTCGAAGAAAACAAGCTTGCATCATGCCAGCACCTGGAATCCCTGCACATTCACACAGCTGCACATATACTCAATAAGATTTATGGAACGCTGACCATATACTTTTGGTGCTTACATCACGCACCTAGTCATACTTAAATACGATGTACCTTTCTTATGGCTGTCATTCAGAACAATATCAGGTGCCCAAACATCAGTAAACTTTGTGTTATTTTGGCCGGTGTATCCTTTTGTTTGTACACTAAGAAGAAACAGTTATGCATTGCCTTTTTTTAGGCCTCTTCTAGCTGTTCACTGTAGTTGCAGTCGAAGGAGTGACTTTTTGAGTATTGATCAAGGGTAATGCTTATTTTTGTGATGGTGGCACAGACTGCCGCCAGTTTCCATGAATTAGCCAGGTTTTACCAAAGTTTCTACAGTTTTCCAGCAAGGCCCCAATTCCCCGACTTTCCCAGGTTGGTAGACACCCTGCACAAACAAACATAGATGGCAGTTAACTCGCGTCCTGTTCCCTGTCTTATGCAAGTGTCATTCTGCACTTTATTACCTTAGAAGTACTTGCTGCTAGGCAGGTTGGTATAACATTATTAG